CAAACATCATATTCCTCCCTGACCTCATCTGTCAACCCGTCCAACACCACTGCAAACAAGGCTCAGAGCTGATCACTGATGTAACCCGACTGCCACACTGAAACGCTCACACCTCACCCCTTTTTCGATGTCCTCGTACATGTTGAAACTTGGATAATCATGATTATTAAACTGACATGCTACCATTTTATTAGAAATAGAACACTAAACACAACGCAGTCAAGCAGATTGAAAATTCACACAATACAATTAATACAATTAACAATAGGATATATAATCTTCAGTATCAGTTTATTGTGACATAGCAAGTGTTTACAAAAGAGTGACATAATGCCAGAGTAACAGCACTTTGAAATAATGGGCTGGTATAGTTTTATAATTTGACAATGTTTAAACAAACAGTATTGAATGCTTCAGATGGCAACCCCGTCTATACAAGGTACCGTATGATACATGGCATTTTCAATTGATAACTTGCAAAAGTGGCAATATACAAACTCATCACATTAAAAGTTAGAAAAAATGTCATTATTACTGTTCTAGAAATCCTGTTTATATGTACACACTTTTACACACATGGATATCGTTCTGTTACATGCACAAACGAGGCCCGTTGTTACAAATTATTCTGGCACACAAACAAAAATCAAAACAATTATCGTTTAAAAGATATTGTGTAATCACATCACAAAGTTGAGCTCACCATATCAAATCAACAGAAAATAAAGTTATTACTAGATTTTTTTTTTAAATATAAGCACCACTGAAAGTTTGAATTACAAAGGGGTTGACTTTCTTGCATTTCCTCTCTGTCGCATCATAATGGCACTGGTATCTAAAAGTTGTCACTGCTACCAATCCCTGAACACACTGTTAGAGCCCTGGCACTGACCATGCATTTATTACTAAATACAGATTTTTAGCCCATTTATGGTTTTCTCGATCATCAGACTTTATCATCATCATCCCCTGGAGTGCAGTACAAGAACATTATTTATGACTTTATGAATTCTACAGATTGCTTTAAATCAAAGTCCGCACTCTGTTGTGCAATGGCAAATGTGTAGATGAAGAGCAGGAAGCATTTGAAAGCTCTGAAAAGCTTTCAAATGCTAATAAGTGGACCAAACGACTTCTTGATGAGTATAAAGATCACAGCCGTGAGCTAAAGGACATTTTTTAAATGTCCCTTTCTAGCTTTTGAAGTTTTCATGTCAGCATCTTTCCCACTAAAAATGCCTCAAACTTTTCATTAGAGAGGATTGCAGTAATGTTCTGGTTGAAATGAATGAAAGACTGAATTGACATAAGAAAAAATAAAAACTGTGCTTTAATTTCTTAACTTAGACAGAAAACCTTTACCTGCTGGACGTTCTGCTCATTTAGAAAGATTTTCATAACAAATTTATGTCACAACAATATAACATTTGTTTGAGCAGAAACAGTTGATATACATATCGTATCGCTGCTAAAACTCCCCACTATGTTCTGTTAAAACAAATATAGCTTTCTTATGAAATACATTTTATTTTGAAAGTCACCCTAAACAATGGGAATGGTATTCTCAAATTCCATGAGCATAGACAAAAGATATGTTTAGGAAACCTAATAAAGTTTTCCACTGACAAAATTGTGAAGCTGATATATCTCGTGGACCCCAAATGCTTTCAACAGACTTGTTTTTGTCTACAAACACCACTGATCCTAAAGAACACTCCAAAATATAACATCTCCATTGAAGGCCTTTTCTCATACACTAGCTGCCATGACGGTGGTAGGCCCGGTGGATAACATGAATGCACACATACATTTCTTTCAATTATACACTGATATATGTTACAAATATGCAAAGTTGATTTTCATACAAGCCATAAGAACATTTTTTTCCATATCAAACAAACAGAAATACATGAGTTCTACACATGCTGTAGAGTCTATGTACAGTAATATAAAAAAATAAACACACAAATACATACACATATCTGTTCAAAAACCACACACAGTCCCACAAAGTGATCTCCTCTCAATGGAGTGTACATCTTCACGGGTTATTAGAGTTAAACTCATGTTACTGTAGCCGTTATCTTCTGTAGATTTC